TGTCTTGTCTTGTCTTGTCTTGTCTTGTCTTGTCTTGTCTTGTCTTGTCTTGTCTTGTCTTGTCTTGTCTTGTCTTGTCTTGTCTTGTCTAATCTAATCTTATCTAATCTATCCTGCTGGAGTTTATATCTAGATTGGGAGATTTCAGATAGGTCTGGATTTATAGCAGACCAGTTTAAAACAGGTCAGTGTTTTGCTGAAGGACTCAAAACTTTCACTTCAACCAGTTTTTTTCCAGACACTGCATAGATTTCTCATTTTAGCTTCTCTCAATGTTTGTTTTTAGTGCCATGTTACAGAAGCACCGTGTTTTTATCACTGAGAAACATTAGGAGCTGTACCAAAACAATGATTTTGAGATCTGCCGCGGTTTACTTAGAACGTCCATGTTGTTTTCTTTAATACTATTTCTGACTATTTCAGACAACTTTGTTTTCTTTTCTTTTGTAATATTATTAATAATAATAATAATAACGCTGGAAACAATCAGAACATTTTTCCAGACAGCATCCAGTTTCATGTGAACACTGAGAATCAAGGAAAAGTAAGTCTAATCTTTTTTATATTTTCTTAAATTCTTTAAAAGCTTTAATCTGAAATTTGTTCATTCCATTTAAACAAATCTAAAATTTGATGGTTGCAACTTTGAAGAAAAGTCAGAGAAATAATTAATAATAAGATAGTATTTTCAGTTTTTCAATGATTTTTTTATTACAATATTTTAGCTGCTTAATTCATTCAACCTTTATTTAGACAGGTTAATCTCATTGAGCCTCAAGGACTCTTTTACAAGAATAAGTAATGTTATAATAATAATTAATAAATATACTATATAAATATTATTATATTATTATTATATATATATTTATTATATATATATATATATATATATATTATATTATATTATATTATATATATGATATACATTAATATTATAATAATAATTAATAAAATTAATTAATAGTTCAGGATGTGAAACTTTTCCTTTGCTTCTGGAAAGTGGGTTTGCCGAACAGGTGCCAGTGTTTTACAACAGTTCATAGTTTTTATATCTTTTCTTTGACAATTGAAAATGATTTGTTGGCAGGTGCTGCACATTTAGGGCTGATAGTCTCAGGTGTGGCAGAATGCTCTGCAGAGCTGCATGCAGGGATGGTTGTCTTCTCCTCATAGAAAAGATAATGACAACATCACAAAGTTTGTTTTCTCAGTCATCCAGGTATATAACAACAAAAAAAGGTTGAATCATGTCATCTGGACTTCGTTTTTTGTTAAAAAGAAACGTTTCGCCCCTCATCCAAGAGGCTTCGTCAGTCTGAGGCCTAGCCATCTGGTATTACCCAGAAGCCACCCTGACTCTTGTGTTTCAAGCCTGCCTCAGATACCCCTGAAGTCTGGCCTTTTCACTAATGGTTTCAAAAACACAAAGTTTGTTTTCTCAGTCATCCAGGTATATAACAACAAAAAATAATGACAACATGTTTCTACATGCGTGGCGCCACTCGGATTAAGCTCCATTTTGAAATTAGTTTTCAAACCTATTTTTCCAAATCACATTCTCTAAAAGTGGTGGGAAAAGGCACAACAGGTGTTTACATTTTTTGAGTCAGGAAAATAGAAAAATTAACAGTTTTTTTAATTATTTTTTTTTACAAACCATAACTGTTTTCAGTTCATGACTAATTTAAATGGTGGACAAAAGTGGGGATTTGTGGCAAACTGTGCTATGATAATAAAACAAAAAAAGATAGATAATAGAGGATAGTTCTGTGTTCGAGGAAGAGTAAAAAACAGGACAACTCAAATAATTTAATAGGATTTTCTCAGCTCATCAAGCGCAGAAGCTGTGAGATAAAACAAAATGACCTCTGCTGTCACCAGTCTGACTGGAGAACTGGTTCAGTCCAGGCTTGAAATGGGCTCGGCTCCGTTTGTGTTGATGTGTTGTGTGTGTACGTGTACACTCACAGAACAGCTGGGGAGGGAGAAACAGCAGGAATGAGGAAGAGAAGCACATCACATTCTTTTTTTTTGCCCCTGCAGCCAACCTGTCTCCTTTCTACGACCCCTCCCACTCTACTTGTCAGGAACGCAGTTTGTAAACTCTGAAATCCCGACTGTCAGTCTGAGAAACGGGATTACACATGATTACCTTGCAATAGAAGTCCAACTTTGTGAAGATTCTTGGGGCTAAGCATGGTGTCTGTGGCATTTAAATTATTTACAGATTATTAGTACTGGTGCTTACATTTAATGATTCATATTAACAGGATTATGAAAAACATTTTGTTTATTTAAGCTATTCAACTAAATATCAGGACTGATCTGTTTCTTGCTTCATAAACACAGTTATGATTTTTTATTATTATTGTAAAGAGCTGCCTGCTGTATACAGGTATACTCTTTCTTTAATGCAGCACAAGCTGGAGCTGCAACTAATTCTGTCCACACTGAAGTATTAATGAAAAACTTTGGTCGCTGTTGCTCATCCATGGCAACTGTACAAAGATGAATGTAATCGACAGATTCAAGGTCCAGAGCAAACTGTGGCCATTGGATTGTCTAAAAACTGTAGTAACTGCAAAACACACCAAGGTCCTGCTCTGAAGTTGATGCTCGTGTCAGTTCTGAGCTGTTTTGGAGACCTGATGGTGCATCATGACTGATGTGTGAGGAAGATGTTTTAATCTAACAACCATAAACCTTAATTTGACACTGTGCTAACAGGATTACATCCATCCATTATATTTACCTGCTTCTTCCTTTTTGGGTAGCGAGGATCACTGGTGCACATGTCCAGCAGTCACAGTGCGAGAGATGGGGGACACCTTGGACAGGTCCAAGTCCATCACAGGGACACATGGAGACAAACAACCATTCACTCTCTCTCTGTCTCTCTCTCTCTCATCTAGGGACAATTTAGAGTTACCAATCAGCTTAACATGCATGTTTTTGGTCTGTGGGAGGAAACTGGAGTAAGTGGAGAAAACCCACGCATGCACGGAGAGAACATGCAAACTCCACCCAGAAAGTCCCCTGGCAATAGGGTCTGGTGACCTTCTCACTGAGAGGCAACAGCTCTTCCAACTGCACCACCGTGCCACCTAATAGGATTACAGGAAATATTATTTAGCATTTCTGCCACTATATCAAAATGTTGCACATTGCAACTGTAAAATATAAAAGTCTGATTTATTATTGATGGCACTCATGGCTCATGGATACACAGTGTTAAATTTGTACCTGAAAATTACTGGGAAAATGATCCCTAAGCCCTTAAATTCTGTTGTATTGATAAAACACATTTTCCCTCATTCATAAAATAAATATTTAGGTATTTATCCATTATCTTTTACCCACTTCTTCCATCTGAGGTCACAGGGGTCGCTGGTGCCCATGTCCAGCAATCACTGTACGAGGGGAGGGGGACACCCTGGACAGGTCTCCAGTCCATCACAGGGACACAGACAAAGAGACAAACGAGACAAACAACCATTCACTCTCTCACTCACACCTAGGGACAATTTAGAGTTACCAATCAGCCTAACATGAATGTTTTTGGTCTGTGGGAGGAAACTGGAGTACCTGGAGAATACCCACGCATGCATGGAGAGAACATCCAAACTCCACCCAGAAAGACCCCCAGACAGGGATTTGAACCAGGAACCTGCTCGCTGAGAGGCAGCAGCACTATCGGTTGCCCCACCGTGCTGCCCATGCATCTTTCTGAAATAGCTTTTTTCTTGTTTAAGATACTTATTATACAAAATGAGTCCTGGAGGCTGTAAGAGCTTTCGTTTTTCAGTTCAGTCTGCTACACTGTGCTTCTTGTTCTTTAGCTTACTACACTTTACTTAATGTAAATTATTTCACTTAAAAGGAACTAGTAAATAAAGCAGTAAAATGTACAAAAACTGAGTAAAGTAGAAATATTATAAGTAGCATTAAATGTACTCCCTATCAAAATTAGCCCTCAGTCACATTTTAAGATGCAGGTAATTCCAAACCAGTCAGTGTGACACAGTTTGTCCACTAGAGAGCACCGACAAGTTTCCCATGTACATTTTCATCCAGTCTCTCAGCACTTAGATATTCTTTAATGATGTTAGTTTATGTTAAAGTTGAAGATCGGCTGATGTATTTGTTAAACAGCCAAAACTTTGATCGTGGTTTAAGCTTGGGGTAAAATAATCCTGGCTCAGTCAACCTGTTCACATACAAGTGCAGATTAAACAGACGTACGTCCTACTTCAAGCGCCTCTTCTTCCCGTCCATTGCCACCCCTGCCTTTCCCCCCGTTCCCTATCTGTTCCCATCTCCCAGACAGCTGTTGTGTTAAGGTTACAGTACACCTTGTGGAGGGCCCTTCCCTTTCATCTCTCCCAGCGGTTTTATGGCGCTGTGTGAATGTGCAAGGCTTTTTAATTAGACTCTGCACCCAGACAGGCCCCAAGGCTGAGGCAGCGCCGCTCTGTCTGAAGCGCGCTCTCTCCCTCTCTCCATTCCTCCTCTCTCGGTGTCTCTCTTTTCTCTCTATCTCTGGTGTGTCATCTTCTGTAATCCCTTGCTCTCTCTGTTTTTATGTACAGTGCCATTTCACACGTTGCCCCTCAAACCCTCCTCCACTGATCTATATTTTGTTTCTGTCTGTCTTTCAGCACAACAAGCCCCTGTACTCCTTTGAGGACAACGCTGATTATGTGTATGATGTCATGTGGTCGCCTGTGCATCCCGCCACCTTTGCCGCCGTGGACGGCATGGGCCGTTTAGACCTGTGGAACCTCAACAACGACACAGAGGTGTGTGAAATTAGGTCAAGACAGGCATGTTTTCTATGTTGACAAAGCATGCACATTTGGTAGCCTCTGGGTCTGTTGCTGGAGCTCAGCCTGAACCGCACACACACGATTCAAGATTCCCCTGTAGGCGTTTCCCGCAGCACTGCTTTAAATCAGATTGGGTGACATCTTCTTCTCATGGCTCCCACCCACTAACATTTCTACAACCTCTGTCTAACATTCAGATAACCTCAGGATCCATCTTCCTCCCACTCTGCGTCCCTTCAGAGGAGCACGCAGATGTGCTGGAGACCACATGCAGGGAGCCCCAGCCCAGTCCCATGAAAATAATAAGAACATTTGACTCTTGCAGTGCTGTGGGGTGACAAATATTTTAAGGCCACCAGAAATAAAATTTGTGTCATTGTTTAAATGTGTTACATGTAAAAGACATGTATGTTGAAAATGTCTGTTTTTCTTTTTACAAAAAAGGCAGTTTTATCTTGCATCATATCAACACCTTCAGTCGAAGACTATGAGAAGGGAAACGTGTCACAGAGGAAGAAGAGTAAAGTCAAGAATGTAGGACTGAGGGTGCCAAGTGGAGATCCTCATGGGGACAATGACAGGCAAAGGTAGAGAGATGGCTGACATGATGCAGAGAAGGAAGGTAGATGTTTTATGTGTCCAAGAGACCAAGTGGAAGGGCAGCAAGGCTCACAGCATTGGAGCAGGGTTCAAACTGTTTTACCATGGTGTGGATAGAAAGAGAAATGGAGTAGGGGTGGTCCTGAAGGAGGAGTTGGCAAATAACGTAGTAGAGGTGAAAAGAGTGTCAGATAGGGTGATGTGTCTTAAGGTAGAAGTAGAAGGTCTGATGCTAAACATTGTCAGTGGTTATGCTCCACAGGTTGTATGTGATGGGGAGGAGAAAGATATATTTTGGAAGGAAGGAGTAGAGAGTGGTGATCAGAGCAGACCTGAATGGACATGTTGGTGAAGGAAACAGAGGGGATGAGGAAGTGATGGGTTGGTTTGGCATCAAGGAAAGAAACCAGGAAGGTGATGGATTTTGCCAAGAGAATGGAAATAGTTGTAGTCAACACCTATTTCCAAAAGAGGGAGGAACATAGAGTGACCTATAAGAGTGGAGGAAGGAGTGCACAGGTCGACTACACTATGTGTAGAAGATGAAACCTTAGGGAGATTGGGGGCTGTAAGGTTGTGGCAGAGGAGAGCGTGGCCAGACAGCATCGGATGTTGGGGGTAGAATGACTGTTGTTGTGAAGAAGAGAAAAAGAGTAAAATCAGAGAAGAAAATGAAATGGTGGAATATGAAGAAGGAAGAATGTTGTGAGAAATTCAGAGAGGAGCTGTTAAAGGCTCTGGGTGGTAAGAAAGAGCTTCCAAATGACTGGACTACTACAGCAACAGTAATTAGAGAGACAGGTAGGAAGGTACTTGGTGTGTCATCTGGACAGAGAATGGATGATAAGGAAACCTGGTGGTGGAATAGTGAAGTGCAGGACGCCATTCAAAGAAAGAGATTAGCCAAGAATAAATAGGACAGTGTGAGGACTGAAGAGAGGAGACAGGAATATAAGGAGATGGGACATAGATCAAAGAGGGAAGTAGCTAAGGCAAAGCAGAAGGTGTATGATGAGTTGTATAGGAGGCTGGACACTAAAGAGGGTGAGAAGGACTGTTGGTGACAGTGGTTTGGACATGTCCAGAGGAGGGACAGTGGGTATAATGGTAGAAGGATGATAGAATGCAGCTGCCAGGAAAAAGACAAAGAGGAGATATATGGATGCAGTTAGAGATGACATGGAGGTAGTTGGAGTGAGGACAGAGGATGCAGAGGACAGAGTGAGATGGAGGAGGATGACTCACTGTGTAGACCTCTGAAGAGTGGGTATCACTGTCCCTCCTCTGGACATGTCCAAACCATCACAGTCTGACCTCTCTAACTTCATCTCCCAGTTGTTCAACCTGTGCTGTACCTCTGATGATCTCATTCCTAATCTTATCCATCCTTGTCACTCCTAAGGAGAACCTCAACATCTTCATTTCTGCCACTTCCAGTTCTGTCTCCTGTCTTAAAAAAACAGCTAATAACAGTGTGTTGTGAAAACAGCATGATGTAGAGAAATATTTACTAGCATCTGAGTAACCTACTATGATTTTTTTTAGATTGAAGTTGTTTTAAGACACAGCAGTCTACTTTAGTCCACTCAGACCAGCCGTTAGCTCATCAGTTTGATTAGGTTATTTGTCCAAACTGAGGTTGTTCAAAGAACTACCAGCAACAGGTAAGACAGTTTAAAAAATGACCTTCTGTTCCCCTTTTGACCAGAGTCTATTCTAAAGTATTTTCTGACAACAAAACCATTAGCATGTTAGTGAGCGGGTTATTGTAATTTTTGAGAATGTTCTTGTCTATTTCCTGCATCTTCAGGTTCAGCCCACTGGTGAGAATGGTTTCTTTTATCATGCTTGTGGTATACATTCAAGCATGATTCTGAAAAATCATACTTTCTCACAATGCTGCCAGTAGAGTGGGCATCAAACCTTTGATCACTCAGGTAAAAGTAGGGATAAAAGGATCCTCCATTCTGCTTCTCTCTTGGTTTCCATGGAGACAACACCCACAACGACTTCAACCTCTATACAAGTCTGCATCACGACGCTCTCCTTCCATTCTTGTAATATTCCCGCAGTCATATAATTTTCTCCCCACTCCCAACAACTAAAAGTCACATCTTCTCACTTTAAGCTACATCTCTGTGCATCTTCCTTCCTTAATGCTGCCTCTGTGTGAGCCCATCAGAGCTGCCGGTCCCTCCCCCTGCAGCACATACGACGGTTTCCCATGGTTCCCTCAACAGCAGCCTTTTCACAGACAGAGGAAGAGTTCATTATCGGGGTCCTAACTTGGCTAACAATGTGCTTTATGAGAAACATTTGCTCAGACGCACACTCACGCAAACGGATGCGTCGAACACAGGCGCGCACATTCGCTCACCCGCAAGTCAGTCCAACAGCAACAGGCTCTCATTGTTGCCATCATATTAAAAAACACAGCGAGTCATAACAACATTAACAGGGCCGTGCAACGCGCCTGGTTCTCATTTCCACCACACGCACACGCAGACACACAGCCAGTTTAAAGCGCACAGTTCACATCCACGCTCACACAGGCAGTAGAAGCTAGCAGGCTAATGGCAGTCGGTCTGTGGTTAGCTCTGCTTGAAATGCGCAGAAGCTCGGTGTGCGAGGAGACATGATGCCCAGGCCTCTGTCTCCTCTGGTGACATATGTCAGGCTCGCCTGCCACATGTCAGAAACAGTTTATGGAAACCCTGCATATGTTTTTAGGAGAATTTAAAGGTGCAACATGAGCACTGAAAACAAAACCAGTAAACCCATAATGGCAAGCATGCATGCGGTATTAAACAGTAAATAGCCCTGCATGTGTCCAGTTGAATAAGAAGTTATAAATTTGACAGCTTTGTTGTTTTAACCTCCAGTGGATTCAAGTGAAGCGGCTTTATTTATGTGGCAAATGTGGTCCGTGTCATATTTTTCCTATTTCCCAAAAATCAAAGAGACGAAGCAAAATTTGAGTCACAAAATAAAAAAAGCAATGCTTCAAAAAAAACTTGCATTGAGGCGATTATTTCACCTATTCAGGTTTGAAAATAGAAGGAAATCACTCCAAAGAACCTGCAGGTTCTTGAGAGGCTTTAAAATAAACTAAATCTGGTTATGAAGTCCTTTAAAGCTTCACTCATTTAATTGAAGGTTTTCTCATTTTAATTTGTTTCATTCAGGACTTACATGATCATTTCATTTATTTCTAAAGTTTCTCCGGGGTTCTGATCCGCTCCTTTTCCAAAGGTGGTGTATTTATATACACAGCTCCCCTACGAGAAGGTGTTATTTATAAGACGGAGCTTGTTGCAGCTCCTCAGACTGAAGAAGTCTTTTGGATAAAAGATGAAATGTTTCAACAAGAAGAATCTGTCCAGAGGACCTGACTCAACCTTGTTAGATTTATCCCGTGATAAGTGAAAAACCACAAAGTAGGTATAGTAGTACAAATAGTAAGTAGTAGTTTATTTTAATATGTGTATATATATATATATATATATATATATATATATATATATATATATAAAGGTGTTTTAAACTCCTCCTACACTCTTGCAATATTCTAAACAATGTTTCTAAACTCTAAACGCTCTAAAAGAGCACAGCATGTCATGAGTTCCCTCTCTCTGCCTCCTCTGCTCTCAGCCACCTACAAGCACTTTTGGCCACACCCACTTCACACGTTCTGCACAGAGAACAGCTGATCAGCTGCAGCAGGAAGTTTATCCTGCAACTTGGGCTGCATGAAGATGCAGCAGGTGCTAATTACTTTAAAATAATTTATTTTAAATAAAAATTCCATGCCGATCGTGCGGCTCATCCATCAATCCGCCAATTGCGTGTCATGTCCAATCTTGTTTTGAAAAACCACGATAGTTCAAGTCCGCGATAAACGAACTGCGAAGAAGCGAGGGACTACTGTATAAATAAACTGAATTGAAATTAATTTAATTATTGTATTTAGTTTTTTCATTTTGTGTACTTTGCACAGTACCTTTTGTCACATGTATTAAAAAAAAATCTTGTTTCCTGTTTGTAAAGAGAAAACAGAAAACATGTCAAAAGGTGCAAGCCAACTTTAAAACCATAAAAAAGTTAATGATTTTCCTTTGAGGTGTGTCAAATGAGGATTGTCTTTATTTTCTGCCCCCTAGGTGCCAACAGCCAGTGTGACCATTGAGGGAGCGTCAGCGCTGAACCGGGTCCGCTGGTCGTCAGGAGGGAAGGAGGTGGCTGTGGGCGACTCGGAGGGCCGAGTTTGGATCTACGATACAGCAGAGGTATAAAAACAACCATGTACGATCATTTTACAGCACAAGACCTTCATAAAAAAAATGTTGTAAATGTCGTTAAAAGAATATGCATGGAACTAAAACAGGCAGATCTAAACAACATCTGTAAACTGTTGTGATTTGAACGTTTGTAATATTTATTCAATCTGTTTTGGTTAAAACAAATAATGTGAAGCATATTTACTGGATTTCCTTTGTTCCATGGAGGTTCAGTTTCTACAGTCACAACAAAATGACATCCTTGGTGTAAAAAGGAACTGTTGCTCTGTTTCAGTGTATTTGCACTAAATTAAAATGAGATTTATTTATTCTTTACTGTGATAAATTTGGCTGACTGGTTTTACTGAATGAACCATCGGGTGCAGTTGATCAGGGATACTGCACTTTGTTTTATTGCTGCAAAAAAATTAAATTTAAAAAATGTACGATTCTTGTTACTGAGCTTCAGATCTTTTGTTTCATGTAAATTTCCTCAACTGGAATAATTTTACCCAAAACTACATAAAGCCCAGTGGGAGTTTTAAATCCTTATGTTTAGAAAAACTGTCAGGATGTATGTTAACTTTCTTTCCTCCCCTTTTATTTTTTGAAGGGGGGGGGGGTGTTCTTTAAAGTGCCGTCACCACAGAGCTGCCATCTACCCTGCCTCTGTCCTTCGTGTTTAAAGTCTCTGGTTGAGATCCCCATGTGAGGGCACGTTAGCTTAGCCGCACAGCTAATTTTAGCATCTTTTTCTTGTGTGGTAAACTGGAGGGAGGCTCAGCAGAGCTGGTGGCCTCCACGCTGGGTTGATGGTAACGAAGAGGCTTCAATAAAAGTGAGTGAAGCTGAAATGTTTTATGACTTCCAACAAGCTGGGTTTGGTGTGTGTATGTGTGTGTGTGTGTGTGTGTGTGTGTGTGTGT